TCTCTCTCTCTCTCTCTCTCTCTCTCTCTCTCTCTCTCTCTCTCTCTCTCTCTCTCTCTCTCTCTCTCTCTCTCTCTCTCTCCCCCCCTCCCTCTTTCCCCCCCCGCCCCCAACACTCACACGCACGGACACAGACGCAGGGGTACCCGTGCATGTGTTCCTGCGCATTCAGAATTTAAGTGTATGTGAGTATAACTGCCATTCAGGATTTAAGAGTATGTGAGGCAGAAGTGACTGTGGGCTCCCGAGTATTGTATTATCTGGTGTGCTTGATTGATTCTCTCTAGGGCTTTTGTTATGTGAGAGTGCGATACTCCAGTTTCAGCGTCATCTATATGGTGCTCGATGGACGTAGAAGCCTACTCTGTTTCCTCCGTGGCCCATGAAAGGCTTGGATGTATAGGTGTTCGACATTTGGCTCAGCATTGAAAACTGCTTAGTGGTGGTCCCCACCTGCAACTATGCATTTGTTAGTTTATGGTGGTCCCCACCTGCCAGTACTAAAGCTATAGCTCTTCAGAGAAGACTTCCGCTCAGGGGATGAAACAAACCGTTTCTTCTCCGCTGCAGTAGTGGGAACTGGTCATTCACTGGAGATCGGAGCTGTCGCTCACATACATTTTCGTATACATATATTTATATGTATATATATATATATTTACCGGGCAGTTCTATTTGTGACGATATATCGTCAAATAGATATATATATCTCGTAGTTATGTGACAATATATATATGAGAGAGTATACGCCAACCGGTCAACAGATTGACAGGTCATCAGGTGAAGACGAACACGTCATTCCGGTGAGAGAGTTCAACAGGGAACCAGTCCACTGGTCAAGGTCAACAAGTCAAAAGGTCAACCAGTCAACAGATCAACAGGTCAACAGGCCAGCAGAGCAAGAAGTTTGGCGCCCCACAGCTCAGCAGGTCAGCAGGTCAGCAGGTCAACAGGTCAACAGGTCAACAGGTGAACAGGTGAACAGGTCAACCGGTGAACAGGCCAAGAAGTTGTGAGCTCTGCAGGTCAACAAGGTGACAGGTCAACAGGTCAACAGGCCAAGAAGTTGTGAGCTCTACAGGTCAGCAGGTCAGCAGGTCAACAGGTAGACAGGCCAGCGGGAAAAGAGGTTGAGATTCAACAAGTCCACAAGCCGTTAAGAAGTCAAAAAGTTGACCCGCCATCAAGAAGTCAACAAGTGGACCGGACTTCAAGAAGTCAACAAGGGGATCGGGCGTCAAGAAGTCAACAAGTGAACCGGGCTTCAAGAAGTCAACAAGTTGACCAGCCGTCAAGAAGTCGAAGGCGCTGAATCAAGAATTCAACCAGTTGCTGGAGTGGATAAGTGAAACTGGAGGAATTGGTGTGTGTAGAGGGACCACATGCATATCCTTGTTTTTTTTTGTTTTTTTTTTTCCCAATTTACGTATTGTCAGCCCGTGGAATGTACTCATTGCATGTGGTGGGGAAATTAAAACTATCCTGTTGAATGTTTTGTGAATATGTAACTCCCGCCGTAGGATGTGTCCGTTGGGATTTTTGTAAAATTATGAAAGGTATATTGTCTTAAAATTATTTGAATTTATTTCAGGTTGAGTCGTGATATCATGTCCAGCTCATCATGTGTGCATAGAGACTCTTTCCTCTTTTTTTGTTTAACAGAAGGGTTTTTTTTTGTATAACTATTTCCTACCGATTCCAAAGTAAGTTTCTCCTGGAAAATTCGAAAATAATTTAAAATAAAAATTTCCTGCATATGGTTGGTGAAGTTTGTGGTTTGCCGGATGTGTCCCTGTCACAACGTACCTAGCTGTTTGTACATCCTGGTACATGTAATGCACCTGGTCGGCAACAAAGCCATGTGCATTCTATCAGGGATGCTATGGGACAATGCCAAGTTTGGAAACTATGAGGTCATTCTCCTCGTATTTTTTCTTTTTTTCCTCTTTTTTCTTCTCCAAAAAGGAAAGTGTGAGCCCCTGGTGCAGGCATTCTGGCCTTGGTGGGCAATGCGGCCACACTGCTGCGCTTGCACACGAGCAGCCGCCTTCCCGCTGCGGGCCAGACGTGGGCACGGGTGCTGAGGTGAGAAGGGCGCTGCTGAGGAAGTGGGCGCAAGGCGGCGATAGCCGGGCTGCTGGGGCGCGGCCAGGAGATGGAGATGGCGGTCTTCGGGTAGGGAGGCGCATGAAGAGGGGAACCAAGGGGTGATGAGAGGAGGAGAGAGAACGTACCTGGTGTATGCTAGTGGTCAGCATTGTGTTGACGTCACGTACATTGGTCTTCGACGTTGATGTGATCCAGTCGCATGAACGCAGAGAACAGGATACATAGGCTGAGTACTGTAGGCTGGGCGCTGGGCGCCAGACAGTAGCAGCACATTGGATACAATGTTGGTGTGACCAGAGAGCGTCGGCATTGGCACTCGAGTTCATTGTATTGCTCTTATTTGGATGGTATCTTGGTGCATTTGAGCTCTCTGCTTGGTACATGGCTATCTGGACTACATGATTTTGCATTCCGGTTTTCTGTCTATCGCTCCCGCTCATATTCCTTGCACGGGGTCAAATCCCGCTTTTACCGTTTTTTTTCAGGCAAGGAGAAGTCCTGTGGCCATTTCCTGGCTACTCTATCTGAGTTATCAAACAACCCTACCAAGAATTATCGACCGCGGCACTGAGTCTCGCATCTGCAATGGTCCACGTTAGTGTTTTTGCATCGCGAAGCGTGAGACGTCCAATGTAAAATTCTGACGCACGATCGTTTGCATTGCGAAGCGTGAGACGTCCGATGTAAAATTCTGACGTGCCTGACACAGCGTGCCTGACGTGTCTGACGCATTTGGCATTTGTTTTTTTCTCGGGCGAGTCCAGTCTCGTTTCGTTTTTGCGTTCTCTTTTATGCTTTGGGCCTCACTGCACTACTCTTGAAATACGGACAGATACACGGTCATGATTTTTGTCTTTTGTGGATGTCGAGAGTAGTGAATCTTCCGCTAGAATACGGACAGATACACGGCGTGCTGATGCCGTGGCCGATGCCCCCTGAATGCTGCGCGTCCCTCACGTTCTAAAACAAACACCCTCAATGTCGCCTGGGCCAGATAATCGCCCTCCCTGGGGTGGGCCTGGCTCCGGGTCGCGGCTTCGCCGCGACCCTCCCACCTACTCTGCTGCTGTCTTCATTCACTTTCTGGTCAGAAATTCCCATCTTCAATTACGCGCCCTCCCCGTGCCGCGGCGGCTTCACTTGTTTCAATAAAGCCCAGGCCAAAGAACTTTTAAGGTATGTAGGTCAGGTGAGCAGAGGGATAATCATTGGTGTCATTTGGAATTTAAGAAATGATACGCTTTTCAGAGGCGATGACCCAAATGTGGAGCAGCTGAAAGCACAAATTAAGAAGCAAAAGTAAGGTACATAATAATGGCAGACTGGCAGAGGAGAGGCCCGATGAGGTACTTTAAGAACATGGGCAGCAGACAATCAGTTGGCTGCAGTCACTATGACTAGAAGTTGGTTCTTGGCCCCTGGCTCCGTTCAAAGAACTTAAAAGTAACAAGAAGGTGCAGCCAGCGCAGCTCCGCCCGCGAAAAAAGTCAGGAAGCAACCCCAATGAAGAATCTCACTTCGCTCTTTCTGTCTCTGACTCTATGTTTTCTTTGTTAGTGTATGGCTGGTGCTTTCTGTATCACTGTCTTAGCTCTTGGCGTCTTCTGTCTTTCTAAGTGTTTGTGGAAAGCAGAATAGTAAACAGCAATAGTCACATTCAGCAAGCTCATACACGGTCACAAACAGAATAGTAAACAGCAACGAATCTTGATCCGAAGAACATTGTCATCGTCACCAAGAAAGAGTAGAAAACAGAATCGCTAAACTTAAAATAAACCGGCCACAAACGCCATCCACATATTCAATTTCACCAATTCGATTAACAACAGGTCAAGTTATGTTGACCGGTCACACCTACCCACCACCTACCCACCGAGCCGGCCGAAGCACCTCCCCACCACCTCCCCACCGAGCCGGCCGAACACCACCTCCCCACCGAGCCAGCCGAAGCACAAAATGAGAAGGAATTTTCTGCAAGAACAAAGGAAGATACACCGCGACGGACAGATACATTGAAACAAAATCCCGGTGTGAGTATGGACTAAGGAGCTGGTAGATGCAAACGTCTAGGCGCGTGCACGCGCGCAAAAGAGAGAGAGAGAGAGAGAGAGAGAGAGAGAGAGAGAGAGAGAGAGAGAGAGAGAGAGAGAGAGAGAGATTTCCATCCATAGGATGAGCAAAATGGGAATGAATCTGTCGCTAGGACATGGAAATATACACTGCCACATTTTCGGTCTTTGGCAACGTATATTTCAATGTTGTGGCAGTGGATACTTCCATGTTCTAGGGGAAGATTCAATCCCATTTTGCTCATCTGGGGAAACGTTGCAATGTCGGTCTGTGTGTGTGTGTGTGTAGGATGAGCAAAATCGGAATGAATCTTCACCCAGAGCATGGAAATATACATGTGTGTGTGTGTGTGTGTGTGTATGTGTGTGTGTGTGTGTGTGTGTGTGTGTGTGTGCGTGTGAGAGAGAGAGAGAGAGAGAGAGAGAGAGAGAGAGAGAGAGAGAGAGTTTTCCAGCCACGCACGCAGAGAGAGAGAGAGTCTACTTCCATCGATAGGAGCAAAATCGGAATGAATCTTCCACTAGAATATGGAAACATACAGTGCTGTCCAGCCATGCGCGCAGAGAGATAGAGAGGCCACTTCCATTCATAGGATGAGCAAAATCGGAATGAATCTTCCGCTAGAACATGGAAATATACACTGCCACTTTTTTTCTTTTTTTTTTTCCTTTTTTTTGTGTGTGTGAGAGAGAGAGAGAGGTAGAGAGAGACACACAGAGAGAGGGAGAGAGAACAGGTAAGTCTCCATATCTTTTTTGTCTTTTGTGAACCTAACCACAACGATCCTGAACGAATCCCACCGGAAACCAATCAACACAGAACTACACGGATTCCACAAATCGAGAATCTCGTAATCTAACAACAACAACACACACACAAAAAAAAAAAGGATAACACAAAATTCATCACACCAAGAAAAAGATAAGGCAAACCACAACAACAGTACGCAAGCCCTGCCCGGGCCCACCGAGAACCAATCTCCGCAGTTCCAGCTGAAGAACCAAACAAGGACCTGCCCAAGATTCGTGAGGGGGAAACCAACGAATTGGACAGTGATAAGCCAACAGAGGAAAGTCTGAGCTGAGGTGACCCCCCAATCATGAAGCAAAACTTGGGAAGCAACAGTGGAACGCAGAGGCGCTGTCGACAGCTCGAACGCAGGGTCGCTGCCGACCTATACTCCCGAGAACGCCTCCACGCCAGTCTGACTACACATGATCAGAACTCGAAAAGGAAACGGAAATGCCAGAGCGACGGTTCGAAGTAGGGGTCGCCAACCTATGGTCCCACAGGCGGTCGCTCTCCGTTTCAAGAACACACACCAATTCGTCACTGTCCCATCCCACTACAGCTACGCTCCCAAGAACACACACCAATTCGTCACTGTCGGACAAACACTGTTCCAGTTATGACGTCTCAACCCGGCCTCGCGTATTCCGTCAAAAAGCAGACCCAACGAGAACAAGGGAAGAGAAGTTGCATATCTGAGCAAAAAGTATCGAGTGAACCATGCTTGGCTGGATATTGCTCCAGCATGGCAGGAGGTTGTGATACCGGAGGCGGTGATATGTCATATGCGGATCGTATGCTGTCGGGGCCAAGTCCCACTAGCAGCGTCGAGCTACCTCAACGCCTGAGTCTGGACGCTTTTGCGGAGATGGTCCTTTTTTTTTTTTTTTTGGTCACCTTTGTGTCAAATAACGGAAGTTCAAAAGAGGCCGGGGACCTCACAATTCAACCCGGATGAACGTTCTGGGGCCATTACCCAGATTCGGCAGAACTGGAAACGGGGTCCAGTGTCCTAATGGGCATGACTTTAGGAAGTGGTACTGGTGGCTTAACCCTTAATATGGGTTTTGTCCATACTCAGTGTTAATTGGAGTTTGTCTCTAAGGAACGATTCCAATTCAGATCTCAGTTTCACTGCTTCTGATCGTGGACCAGAGATTGCTACTAGAAAATCATCTGTGAAGCGGATGTAATGCATCCTTCGGTTCTGCGGTTCAAGTCCGTTATTACCCAGATGGGAAAATAGCTTAGTTGGTTAGAGTGCTGGCCTGTCACGCCAGAAGTCACAGGTTCAAATGCGGTTTTTCCCGGGAGGTATGGCTGAGTGGCTGAAGGGGTTTGCTAAATCAACATACAACAAGAT